TTATTACTCACCATACTTCTAAAATGCCAATCAAACAGATCATCTCTATATATACACACACACACAATGAGCCCTCAGGGTATCGGCAAATGAACCAGCCAATGAGAGACTTTGTTACACTTGAGTGCACACCCAACCGCTCTGACTGGGTTTGGTCTCCCGGGTGCTTCGTTTCGAGGGAAGTAAACCCAAGTACAAAATATTGCACTTTTGATTCACAATTGTACGCTTATAATTTTGTTTATTTGTTTTTTTCACAATCAGCAATGTATATTATATGTCATGAATAAGTGATAATTGTGTTTTAATTATGTTTGTTTTTTTGGTTACATGTGACCTTTAATGATTTGGTAGACTATGACACAATTCTTGGTTAATGATACCTCAGATGATATCACAGTGAGTGCTGATGACATCACTTCCAGTTAACAGTACTTCGGGTGACGTCACTTCAGGTACGTTTCGTGAAGGTGATATCAAACTACCACTTGGTATGTCATCAAATATGCTCTCCTGGCAGTATCCCTCTTTGATGACCCTGAGGATCCATTGGTTGGTCGTAATGACCTTCCACATATGTAAATGGTGATTACGGTCACCCACTGGACCCTGGAGCCTGGTACACCTTCACTGGAAAGCCAAGCATCTGTCTCCGATATGAGGTAATTGATGATAGCTGTTGCTGTCCTAGGGGGAACTGGAGTGTCAACTCCACTTGTGACTGGACGTATTTGCTGGGAGGACTTGTTATATCATCTTCAGATTTCAAAACTTCCTCACATCTGCTGTTAAACAGCTGGTGCTTGAGAGGCTGGGAATAGAGCATGTTGTGTATGTCGGGGATATTGCTGATCAGAGTCGATGAAGGTGATGGTCGCTGCGAAGGAGCGTGAACTATGCTAAGAGCTTCACCATGAGAGCCTGAAAGTCAAATACCACCTTGGCCTGGGTAGTCATGTAGCATCTGGGCTGTGTTGCCAGAATCTCTCGTTTAACTGAGGATGGATCATCAGCTGCAACAGTCTTCGTTGTAGGGTGGTAACATCTTCCTGATGCTAGAGAAAAAACAGAAGTTAAAGCCCTGGATATTGTTGATCATACGTACAGACTCATAGAAATGAGGACTTCTTGAGCAGCAATCTCATCCGCTAAAGTGTAGCCGGTTGTGTTGAGATCTGAAGCTTCCACTGCTAGACCCAATAACCACAGTTCCTGCAGAACACCATGTTAGAAGACGAGGTAGCAGTATCTGATAGGTTACAGTACGAACTTAACTTGCGCCCTTGTTGTTAGAATGTTGTTAGAATGTCTGCTGCTTGCCAGTACCATGCAGAATGTGCAACTGTACAGTTAGCCTGGGCTGGACAGCTGGTGTGATTCATGCAACTAGGCTGGTCTGTGAGGCTAGCATGGTTCGAACAGCTAGGCTGGTCCATGCGGCTAGCGATATTGCCACAATCACTCTGGTCAAAAAGGGAAGAAAATCATGCACTATGAACTGTGTTGACTGATCATCAATGGAGATGGGGGTCAAGGGGGATGTGGAACTTGTGCTGCTGTGTCTAAGACTTGGTGACCCACACGGTCAGTGTGATCTCTATCACCCTTACGGCTGGTGTACGACTGGCTGCAATTCCCACCAAGACTTTGGTCTGATGTAGTCTCTCTAAGTCGTGGTGACCTGGAGGTGTCCAGTGGTGACTTCTCCGCCATAGATTCTAAGTCACCAGGGTATTCCTCGGCTGACAGCCCTGATAATCCTGAAAATCTAGTGCCGCATGCATAAGAGGCCAAACTGAACAGATAAAAACATTATCAAGCAAATATTTTGAAATCCTAAGCCTAATAATTATATAATCTCAACTATTTTTATACGAGTGTGTTAGGTTATTCCTGTTCACCATGACAGACTGTAGTCTTGTGCATGAGGAGACAACTGAAGCATTGAGATACAGAAGTTGCTGTTGTAAGGTCTCAACACTATTGAGACTACCATTACAGGCAGATCGTTGATTCTAATGAGTAGAAGAACAATTGTGTGCCAGTTGACTGAGTCACTAAAAATAACCAATGAATGTCACAGCACCAGCTGAAGTATGACGTCACAAGCTGGCATGAAGAGATATTTGTTGTAATTAAGAAAGCTATTGAAATCCTTTGTCTTGCATGTGATCATTGCACAGCTTAAACGTATAACAGAATTTCTAAATTTATTCAAATGCCATTTATGTTCACAATTTCTTTTCAGCATTCTCAATTTTTCCTTTTCCTTTTTGTACAAACCTATTTTGTTTGGATTCAAATTTCATTCTTTGCTTTGGCTAAAGGTCACACAGGTTTCTGACTCCACATTTTCTGGACAAAAACATTGTACAAGTAGTTTGACACATGTGAACAGTCTGAGACAGAGTTAAGAAACATTTCTTCAGTCTAGTAAATTTGGGAAGTAACTTCAGGACTGAAGTGATTCTTCAAAGGTCAGAACAGTGCAATGCTTTGAGCTAATTATGTAGCCAAAGGTCAAGTAGCAATATAAAGCAATTCCTGTAGAAACACAATGCAGCAATACTCCCTCAGAAACATGTTTCGCTGATGACTATGTTACCTGCCAGTTAAATGTTATAAGACATTTACTAATGTTCACCTACATACAGTAACTGTTTGGTGAAATAGGCTGAATCCCTGTGGTGAACTAACAAATAAACAAGATGTCAAATAACTTCAAGTTCAATATACCTTTAAATAGGAGATTAAAACCAAAACATATATGTACCTTCAGTACTTTGTGTGGGGTCTGGGGTCTGTTATTTGTGTCAAAGGGTGATAATCATGATTATCCATGATATAAATATGAATTCACATCACTAATCTGTTTTTATTTCAGTTTTTGCTATGCTCAAATCATTCTGAGCTGAAATAACATCTCCATCTCATTTAACATAGCAGAAATGAATGTCTGTTGCATGGAAGTGTGACAACAGTGTCATGCATCTCTCTTCTCCGTCACTGTTACACCCTTCTGTAGATTAAACTTGATACACTTTTAATAATATTGATACAGGCATCAAATGTTAAATCCTGTTTCAGCAACAAAAGTTGTTACCTACAATCACTAACATTTCGAATCGATAAATTTTTCAAATATGTTGTCCTGGGACCAAATCTAGTATCTTAGACATTCTTTCCTGTACTAAACAAAAATCAAATAAGCAATCTATGGATAAAACTAAGTTAAATCTTCCTTTTCATAATATTTCTCATCCCTAAACCTTCATTCTATAGAAATAGACAAATGAGAGCTACATCTGCTCAAATACATGTGTATCCTTCTCTAAGCATTGAGACATAAGAGACTTGAAAAGCAGAGACTGTTTTTATAAGTATATTATCTTTCAAGAACTAAGTTATTAGATGGATGAATGTGTACAGATCAAAATTACATTTCTGGCTCTTTTTCTCCATGACTAATGAATGACAACAGTCACAGCTCAAAGGAAAGGAAAGTCCAAGGTACCTTTGCATTTTCATCTTTATCTTTCAGATGGAATGAGGGAATGTCACTGTATGCTGCATGTAGTTTTCGAGCTATATCACAGCAGTCTCTAAATAATCAAATCAGGGAAATCAGTAGTTCCAACAAAATAATAGAGCTGGTTATCGTTACAATTTGTCGGATCGATAATTGCTAGTGTCAGATCGATAATTGATCGATTATAATGGTTTGGACGGTCATATCATAGTCAAATACCTACGTTAGCCAACTAACTTCCGGGTTGTCAGCACGTGTCAATTGTTAACGCCAGCAAGTTACTTATTTTTGCAGTGTCTTTGGATCATCAAGTGTCCTGTCGTCTTACGTTTCAGATCGTAATATGTTTTCGATCGGCCATTACAATTCCCGTTTATAGCGCGAAAATGCAAGAAAATCCATGAGAAGCATCCCGAATGACAGCAAGGTGATCCCCGCTATCGGTCTGACAAAAATATGATACGAATCAAGTTTCCATGCGTAGGCAACAGTATAAAAAACCCACAAAAGATTCATTTTAACTCAGGGATCCTTAACGCAATCTCTACCTCATAATCAAATGCACAAAAGTCCTAAATCTTTACTCCAAAGATGCCATTAATGTTTCATCTGCTTAGCTGACATCCCACCTTACATGATCACACTACTAGTCATGTGACCACGCTGATAGATTTATTTTCATGGCATGCCATTTTTTAAAAGAACTTTTTTCTGTCTTGTGTTGATGTTGAAGGGTGAACAAAGACGTTTCCTTAATGTTGAAACACAAAATTTATTCCACGAAGTATTATAATTAAGCATTGTATCGAAAGTTCAAGAGATTTCATGAAAGCAAAAATAGCTCTATTTTTACCCGCCTTACGAAAGTCACGTGTTTGTATGCAAATGCAACTCAAAGAATTCCCTCTTTCAGCCAATTAGAAAATAGCTAACCTGTAACACCTGGGTCGTATTGTGACGTTTTGTTGCATGATTGGATGAATGAGTTTGGCACAGTTTTGCTCATGAATATTAATTAATTTTTATAAACCACTTTACAACCCGTAGTATCCAATCTAAATATATCTAGCATTGCTACTGGCTGACCGGGAAGGCATGTGCACTTGTGTAGTACACAGCTTCTGTTTTAGAAGTAAACAAGCCATGACGATCAGATTGTTCGGTAAAAAAGACATGACAAGGTAGAATATAAGGTTTTAATGTATGTGCATCCAAATAATGATTATTTCCGATTATCAATCTGCAGTTTATTTGTAATCAACAATCGTTTATTTTGACTTAGATCGAACGATTAACCGATCCTACGATTAATCGCTCCAGCACTACAAAATAACATATGTTGCTATCAAATGAACCCCCCATCAGGCTATGGTAACATACTATCATCAAGGCGACATACAACAAACTATTCTCACCAGTCAGCAGTGAGAAGCAAGGGGTTGTGTACCATGAGGTCCAAATAATTACTTACTTCTTCCAGGGCAGCACACAGAGTCCACAGCATTTCTCCAGCCCCTCCAGGTTCTTCTCTGCATCCCTCATGTCCTGGTTAATCTGATCCATGCCCTCCTCAATACGATCAAGTTGCTCTGAAGCACACAAACACAGCTTGTGAAGGGCAATCATCTCAATACATTCATCCAAACAATCTTAGCTCTAGTATTACTAGTATATGACCTCGGATGAGCTGCAATTTCATCAAACTTTTTTTCTGTTGGTTACAAAATAACATCATATCACTTTGTGTGAACATGCAAGAGAAAACAACTCTTCAAATTTGTTTTTGTTTGAATTTGTAATATACACAGGGATTAAGATTACCATGTGTCTTTGTCTTATAAACAATACATACATCTTGTTCAAACCTACCCCAATAATATAACGGAAAAGTATTTTTATCACGCCTGGACCAGATAATCCAGTGATATTGTCAACAATGAAAAATTTATTCGGATTTGGTTCACTTGCAATCAACCGAGCCATTGAACATGTTGCCTCTTGCAATCAGCCTAGGTTATTGGGGACTGATTTTAGCCAAGAATCAAGAGGTTATACACTTATTCAGCTATATGGCAGACATATCACGACAAGAGACAGTTCTTTCACAGGATCCAGGAATCGGGAAAAAAATAGCATCTGAAACTACTATTTGACCAAAATAAATATATTATAGAATTGTGTTATTTTAATTGCAGGTGTTTGCTCTATAAATGTAAACTAATTATATCACAACTAGGGTTCTGTGGCAGCACTTGGAGTAATGTCTGTTACTTTTTATGTATGGAACAATATGATCTGTCACCACTTTCCTTTCATGTGATCATGCTACAACAAATATGACTTTTCATGAAAAGAAATATTATATACTTAATCATTTTTTGTCAACAACACTTCATTACGAGGGGTGAATAAAAGCAATATGATGGTTGCTGTGAATAATGTAAATGGAAGTTGTAAGTATCAGAGGGACACGATTTTTCCACAAATGTTTTATAATGACAGAGTGTAGAAACTAGATTAATATGCATAATTCAATACAGATTTGTTGGACACTCTGATCCTGATGAAGAGATGTATGAAGGTTGGTGTCTGGCTTATGTACCGAACATACCATTTTGATACTGAATTTAAGGATCAAGTTTGGAACCTGGCATATCTATGAGATTAACCAATCTATGGTCACATACAGTATATAACCAAAGACTGCTACTGGACATGTTAAATTCATACGTTCATGTGAAAAAGGTTATCTCCTACAGTTTCAAATAATACTCAGCACTAAAGAGAAAGGTTACATCTGGAGACAGTATCTGATGCTTTTGACATTTAAGATTTACAGCAAAACAATTGAAATCATATTGGAAAATCATATTGAGAATCCGAATGTTGTTTTATTCTGCAGTGAGTAATATTTCAACAATTTCCAAGGTGGCCTGTACACAAAAGAATGTCCTGACAAGCCAGTACTTTATAGTGTGAGCAATATTTCCTATTTTAGTTAGCTGCATGAAACAGTTAATCTTCATTTTCTTATTCCAAACATGGTGTAGAAAGAATGTACATGTATATGTTACTTCAAACTCAAACATTTGTAGTTTTAAGAACAAACATTCTATTAATACAAGCTTTACTTCATGTGCATAATAATATACATTCAGCATTCATTGACTCTAGAGACCATAACATAGGGACAAGCAGTGTTATATACGGTAGGTCTGCACATGCTTTATTACCATTGTAGTGCTGGGTTAGAACATAGGTACCCTTCAACCCTTCTCTTAGAGAAGACTAAAGTATTGAGAGGTCAGATTCTGTTATTTGGTTGACTGCTTGGTGCCTGGATAGATATATCACAAAATGGTCTATCAAACTTATCAGCAATGAATTATAGATCCATAGTTTCAAAGAAAGAATATTCAGAGGCCTTGATTATTTTATTTGTTAACAGAAACAAACATGAATAACAATAGTTAAACATTTAATTGTTGCAGGGTGGTGTCAAGTGGATGTGTCTTATCTCCTCCATATGGTATCTGTCACAGCTAAACCACACTTCTCTATTGTCATTCCCATCATTAAAGACCAAAGTTGTCACTAACAAATTTAAAATTAACTGCCATTATAGTGTTGTCACCATGTTAGAATAGCCATAAACCTCCACTACTTACACAAACCTTATTCCTATCAAATGAGTGCTTATCACAGATACATGAATAAATGTTGCAGAGCAAACTGTCAGTGGTGACAATGTTTCTGGTGTGTGGACACATACAACAGCAAACCTGACACAAGATTATTAACTGTAATCCCACATGGATGGATATTTGCTTCACCAAAGTTCACATTCAGTCAATGATACATGCATCAGTGTAACGCCTACAATGACATTACACCTCTACAAAAGACAGAAGATAGAAGGTGTCTACAGTGCTTCTATGTTGGGGAAAATGTTTAATGAGGAATAGCAAATACTTCTGGTGATCTCATTTCAGAGGCCTTGATGGACATAATAGGGCACAAGGTTGGGTTAGTCAATACATAACAACTTCCATGTTGCAGTTGATTGAGAGTCTGCCAGGAGAAAAGACATTTGGTGGTTGATTCCCCATGGAAAGTCATATCAAAATAAGTTAAAAGATGGTACTGTGCATTAAGGGCAGGGGTTGGCATTAAAGGAAAATACTGAAAAATAGCAATCATTGACGAAGTTAAAGATAAAGTCATCAGAAACATGTACCCCAATTTGTAATGCAAAGTAGTATTATTTATATTTTAATCGTGAATACAGTTTCTGCTATATCTGCTTTGGCCATATGCATATTCCACTAGTAAGTCCATGAATACACATGACTTTTTACACTTGTGACATCATACGTGACATCATAGGTCAGCCATAATTCCAAGACCAAACGCAAAAACCACCTTGTTTTTCTGCATTTTTTTTATTGGTAAGACAGGGTATTGTGTTGCCTGGGGTTGCACAGCATCATCAAACAATGGAAATAGGCATCACGGATGAGGTAAATAGTTACAACGGCAGTTTTCAATCAGCATAACCGTTACTGTAGATCATTGATTTAGTACAAAAATAATTGATGTTCACTTCCTCATATTCCATACATATTATGTCAATACATGTTACAACTTAACGTCAGTAATGTTATTTCATAAGCTAAAATTAGGGAAATAAACTTTGTCCTGGCTAGTATTTTATAATTCACCATTGTCTTGTCACAGTCTATTTACATAGACAATGACTGTAATTTGACTTGCTATGTAATATAAAAAATATGCTGACCTGTTAAATGTGTATGAAATGCTGTACCCAGATGAAAAAGTAATTAAGTGATACAAAAAAAATCACAAAAAAAATCACCATTGTTCGGGACATAAATGATCTGTGTGGTTTATATCATCTCTGCTCGACTATGGCTGGGACCTTGTATGGTGACAAGATAATTTATCAACAAGAACTAGGATCCTCATTTTTTTCACTGAAATAATTCCTTACAACAGCGTAATTTTAGTAGAAGACAATTTCTATGTTCCCTAAGTAAGGAAGCCATTGGCAATAGGCACGTATCATGTCGGTACCATCATGTCATGTCACGTGATACCAGCTTTTTCTCATTATATGTCAGGTGTTTCTGTAATAGACGGAATTACAAGTGTGTTTTTTACGTGTTTACTGCGATTTTAGAAACGTTTTGTTCAATTTTAATCATGGAAGGTGACTTTAAGAATGCTTTTACCCCTATGAATAAAAAAATGCATTTGTATTCTCCTTTAAGGGTACAAAGTATTGCATCATCTACTTTATTGTAAAACTGAACTACAACTTTGATTACAGTACATACAAGCATAGCTGACAAGAAAACATTGCTTGTTTAACTTCAACACTGCTATGTCTAGACAGCATCCTCCACAATAAAGAAGCGTCCTTCCTTCAACCTACAGTCATAGCCACACAAAACATAAGTGATACAGTCAATGGAAATGTAAGCTTAACATTTGCATACAGTAACAGTGTGTGATACAGAAATTGTGTATGGGTGAAGAATTCTGTATTCATGTGACCACAATCAATCACTTCAAATGATCTAAACCATAACACTCCAAGAAATACATCATTTACATTTATTGTAGTAATTGCTGGCAACAATTCAGCAAAAAGAAAATAACTAATTCTCAAAGTGCAAAGAAACCAGCAGTCTCAGATCTCAATGAACAGTAATACTCCTCAAAGGTACTTTCCATCCAAGGTCTTGGAAAACAAAAGAGTACTGTCTCAAATAAATTGTTGGTTGTTGTCTCCAAGAGATGTGTCAATTTTAGCTCAAAGAGGAATTTTTTTGAAAAAGATCAATAAAAGTAAGCAAAGAAACTAGCAATCAATAACAGCAAAATTGTTCTTTTCAAGATTTGTACACTATTTCATGAGAGGTGAATTTGTAGTATGTCACGATTCACTGGTGCATGGCCAGCAAGCCTCTTCTGATAAGATTCATGATTCATTTGTTTTATTAATTTTGACATATATCGATTATTATATCGATAAGTGCCATAACTCTGTAATAAAATGTAACATGGTTTCCATTTTTCAAACTCCATCAAGGCATTCATGCCCTGAAAACACATACCAAATTTGGTTTCCCTATCAATAACGGTTTCTGAGAAAATCTGTCCTCATCATCTCGGACCGATGCACGGACGGAGGTCAAACCAATATCCCCCTCCCACTTCGTGGCGGGGGGATAATAATATAACGAGATGAATTCTGATGCAGTGATCAGAAAATACAGTATCTGAAACTATTATTTTACCAAAGAAATATATTCTAGCACTGAGTCATTTTAATTGCAGGTTTTGCTCTATAAATGTAAAATATTCATCATCATAACTAAGATTATGCTGCAGCACTTTGGTATACTGCTGTATAGTATTTACACATGGAACAATCTGACCTGTTTCCGATGAAGTTTCTTGCGATTTCAATCATGAAAACAGTTTGTGGACAACAAATATGACTTTTAGTGAAACAAAATATGTATACGTATCCATTTTCTGTCAACTGCACTTTATTTCGAAG